AACTTTCAGCAAACCCCAACCCAAAACAGGAAAAAAAAAATCGCTGGGATAATATATTGAAAAACCCCCTAACATCATGTGAAGAGAGTATTTGAATGGAAGTCACCTTGAATAATTAACTATCTTTAGTATCAGGTTTTAAAATGCAAAAATTAAACTAGAATCTAGTTACCCAAGAACTAGCATCCAGCAAGACTTTAATAAAGACTCATCAAACGGCCTTAAGCAGGAGAAGGAGAAGGAACTCGAACGGAGATATATGTATAGACGCACACACCCGAACCTGGGGAAGTGATTTTATTATATGAGGATTGAGCAGAGAAGGCATGTGACAATAGAAGTGTGAAAGAAAGGGAAGGTGAGAAGGAGGAATTTGAAATGGTTTTGGGAATAAAACCCAATGGGGTTCACCGGCTGGGGGTAAGTGAGTATCATATCTTATGAAGGGAATCTTGCCTCCCCAAATGATGATGAAATGTGGGCGATGGCGATAAATTGTTTTTCTTTTTAATATACTAGTATAACATTCCGCAGCAAAACAGTGTAACTATATATGGACCTGTTTGGGACAGCTTATAAGTAACTTATAAATAACTTTTCAATAGTGATTTGTGAGATACAAGGCAAATATGTAAGAAGAGTTTTGTTTCAGTTTACGTGAAACGTGTTTATAGAGAATTTTTTAAGCCCTTCCAAACAGGCCCTATATAAGAGATGTTGGATTGCTGAAAATTTGCAAGACAGTGTCGTTTTATTTAGATGGAGAGGAAGTGAAGACACCGTGCAATGGAGACATTCCGCTTCGGAAAAATTGTAGTAATACAAGAGATACGTCTTCAAATCTTAACTTTTCACATGCACATTGTCCACTCCCATGTTGATATGAGAATGTTGCGAAAGTCGTGATTGGGTAGAAAAGAGGTAAGAGCAGGTTTTAGAATTGCTTGTAAGATCTTTTGATTACATATTTCAGTTAGGTATTAAAAATAGCCTAAAAAATCTTGAATTACTTATTCTGAATTGTTTGGTTAGCCTCTATGAAGAGCCACATTTCATTTAATTCATGCGAGGTTTATTAAGATAACAATGCCCTTCAACATTGTAAAATTGCCCTTAAAAGTGGATGTTGCAGTACATTGAGGAAGCCTTGCAAGAAAACCTTGGATATAAATATTAGCAGAACGAAGGGATAGTGCAGACCAAATAGCGTGTGTATATCAGCAAGTGCAAAAAGATAATCAATAGTTTCTCTGTTGACAACAGAAATCACCGCTTATTTAGACATTTAAGTGGTGTTTCTTTAAAACCTCTCCACTAGTTAAAACATAACGGATTTTATCTAACCGTTTATAATATTTGAACTTTATCTTTTAATATATTGTCGTAGTTCAAAAAAAAAAAGTTATTCTTCCGGTTCTAAATATAAAACCCTTATACACACTAATATAATAGTTTTATATTTAGGACCGGAGGAGTGTAACATAATGGATAAGTTTCTAAATGAATTAAGAGTTGTTTATGAGGCAATGTAATCATCCATATAAATTCTCATAGTTTCATAAGAGTAGCCTGTCTAATCATAGCATTTTGAATAGAGAAAAGTGTGGCCTTACCTAATGCTATATTCACCAGAGACATCGCATTTCCAATAAAACTCATCCTTGATATTATGAATTGAAATCAGGGTTTTAAGAATGTTATCAACTATCCCCGAGAGTATATGGATCTAACTAGAGACATATTCTACGGAGGACAAAGCCAACCATTTGGGTTATTGGAAAAAGATCTAAAACCTTATGAATATGAAGATTTGTAGGCAATGATTGATAAGCCATAGGCCACTAGAGATTATGATCTTGTGGAATAGAATTCCCCAAGCCAACCTGTCGTTAAAGATGTTGAAAAATGAGGTTCGATTATTCGGAAATTCCTTTCCATAACCAAGAAGCATTACATGGTTTTTTTCAGCTAACAACCTCATGAAGTATCTAAATATTTTGTTGGGAAAATCGTGAAAAAAGACCGCCGAATTAGAAAATTTTTAAATAGGGACTCATGACATAATTAAAATGGGTTGTGACAATAATTTTTATGAACGAGTCTCTGTGTGTAATTTTTCTATTTCAGCAGTCTTTTTTTATGATTTTTCCTATTTTGTTCTTATAATGCTGGCAAGAAGAGAGTGAGGTTCAGTTGATAAAACTCTCCAGATTTGTTTGGCCAAAAGAGAAAGGCTCATATGGTGCATAGATCTAAAACCCAGCCACCGTTACTTGAAGAAGTAAAAAGCGGATTTTTTTTTTAACTAAGCGTCTTCTTCGCTTTTGATGATCATAAACCCAAAAGAAATTAACAACTCTACCATCAATGATGTTGCACACCTTTTTGGGAAGTTTTGTGTAAGAGAGCACGTGAATATTGGATGTAGAGATTGCATATTTTATTAGAGTTAATCGTAAAGCTTGAAAGAGAAGCTTGGATTTCCATGAAGCTGTCTATGGCATTTATAACTTACCTATAGATAGGATATTTGTGCTTACCAAAATCTATCCATATACCAAGCTATTTTCCAAAACATTTAGAGAACTTGATATCCATATACCAAGGTATTTCCTGTGGAGCTCATCTGAAACATTAGGAGAGAATAGGATAGAAGATTTATCTTTGTTAATTTCTTGTCTAGATCTAAGGTGGAAAGTTTTGAGGATTTTGGCCAGTTCATTGATATTGGATTTATTACATTCAAAGAAAATGGTGGAATCATTAGGATATGGCAAATGGGAGGTAGGAAAAGGGTCCTTACAAATTTTAACATTGTGAAGAGCACCCGACGTCTCACTATACAAGAGCAAGCAAGAGAGAATATTAGCCACCAAAGGAAGAGATGTGGTGAAAGTGGATTCACTTGTTTAATTCCATTTGATAGAAAGATTGGTTGGGTGAGTATGCCATTAAACAAAATATTATATTGGATTGTAGATACACATTGTATAATAAGTAGGATGCACTTTAAGGGAAAACACATTCTAATTAGAATGGCTTCAACAAAATCCAAGAAAGCTCATCAAAAGCCTCTGAGGAATCCAACTTCAAAAGAAGTTTCTTCCTTTCTTTCCTAGCATTGTCAATCTGATGGATAAGGTCTGCCACCATCAAAATGTTGTCAGAGGTTAATCTATCTTTAAGGAATGCACTCTGGAAGGAGAAATCAGCTTAGGAACAACTACCTTCAATATGTTACATAAAACTTTAGAAAACATTTGGTATGAGACACTGCAAAGGAATAGGCATATCCATGAGATATTTAACTTTCTTGATGAAGACTCCTCACTAAGTACACTCAACATAATACATAATGTCCTCCTTGTTTATAAATATAGGGGTTAATTAGAGGGTTTATTTTTATTCTGAATATAATAAATATAATACATTAATATATTTTATCTTCTAAATCTCTAACTTCTTTTTCTCAAACAATCCCTACACGGTGTTCCCCTTGTTTATAAATATAGGAGTTAATTAAAAGGGTTTATTTTTATTTCTAAATATAAGACATTAATATACTTTATCTTCTAAACATAATTTTTAATTTTTTTTTAAACAATTCCTCTTGAATGGATATATCCAGCAATAGTTCAATGCAAATGATATTTAAAAAGTGATATGTTAGGAAAATTAACACACATTTTTTACATATAATTAACACACTCTTTTTTTTTTTTTACATAACTTAGTTAATTTTTTAAACATTTATAAATTAGTTTTCTAGTTACTATATTAATAACTGGAGGAAGCAACATGTGTTCTATAACTATTGTTAATCATTAATATTTTTATATTTCAATTTTTAGTTAAAATGGAAAAATTTATTAATAATCATGTTATCATATACTACTTTCAATCCTTAGGCCCTGTTTGGATAGCAGGTCAAACTATGGTTTGGAGACTCAAACCATGGTTTGGGAAAAAACAACCCAAACAGGCACAAATTATTTGAAACCATGGTTTTGGAACCCAAAACCATGGTTTCAGGAGAAGTGAATCCATTCTGCTTCTGACTCAAATTGGAGAGTATGATTGTACCTATTAGAATAAATCTCAACAATAATATGACTTTAACACCCCTTAATTAATTTTTTATAAACATATCTAATCTTATATCTTATAAATAAATATACACATATTAATTATTTATTAATTACATTATCTTATGTATTATTAATTATGTTGGTAAAAAATATATTATTAACAATTTTATTCCTTCAAATTAAAATATATCATACAATCTATATTTTATGTAATTATCATATTAACTTATACTTTTTTTTAATAATTTGTACATATAAAAATTGCTTCTGATAACAACTATCCAAACACTCTCACTTCTCAGAATCACTTTTTCACAAAATCTATTCTTCACAAAATCTATTTTTTTCAGAATCTATTCTCCACAAGCTATTCTTCAAACCATGGTTTGGTTTCATCCAAACACCCTCTTAGTATAAAAGCTAGTTTGATATTTAATTTAATCCTAAATATAATATTTCAATTCACTTGTCCCTCATATTTATCTATGTTTAGTCTCTGTAACAGTTACACATGTTGAATATTTCATCAAATGATAGTTCTAGCTATTACACGTGATTAGCAAGGTATTTTAGAAAGACAATACCTAATTATTATAAATAACTAATTTAACTAATTTTTTAAACTTATTTAGATTATTTAAATTGGAAGTACTAATTATTTTATATCACATATTGCTTTGGGACAGTGATGCTTGCTATGCAACTAGTTGAGTACTTAGATGCTTCACTGTGCAGTCTGTGGACCGCGCACACAGGCAAAGAGCAGTGGATGTGGTGATATTACCAAGGAAGCGACGTCGTTTTAGGGTAAAGGAGGCGCAGCACGTGGAGTGAGCAGCGGAGAGAAACCGGTCGCAGATGAATATGTACAAAAGACTAACGAAATTGGACTTATTTTTTCGTGTGATACGTGCGCGGTGGGTCTGATTCCTTGGGCACAAAACACACCCAATTTCGGATTGGCCCGGTGAAGTGAAGAGGCAATTTCTTCTCCGTTTCCTCTTATTGGCGTCTTCTGCAACATTTCGAAGTTGTTTGCTGACTTGCTCTGTGCCTTGTATTTCCAATCTCCGTTTCTCTCTCTGTTTCTCAATACTTGCTTTGTGCTTTTGTTTGTCGAGGAATTTGTCCCTTTCCGTTGCAATAACTTCACTTTTAAATAGGAAATATGATTCTTAAAACTTGAACGGGAATGCATTTTCTTTTTAAACTTTTATAGGCGCGATCGACTTAATTATTAAATCTTGTTGAGTGATATCAAGATCCTTAGCCTTTGTAACTACAACATGACATTTATTTTGCTGGTCAAGAAAGAATGTGATATTTATTGTAGCAAGTGGTGACTTTCTGATTGTGCATCGGTGAAGATTCTTATCAGTTAGCCATTGGGGAATTTCAGTTGTGAACCCCAGAAAGAAACTTATGGATCGCCTCAATGATCCTCCCAGTCTCGTGATAGTTTCTGATCTTGATGGCACTATGGTAAATGACACGCTTAGTTTTATTGATGGTCCGTCTTCTGCTGATGCTTGGGATGCAATCCGGAATTAACTGTTGATTTTACTGCAGGTAGACCATGATGATCCTGGAAACTTAGCCCTTCTCAGGTTCAATGCGCTATGGGAAGCCAGTTACCGGCACAATTCTCTGCTTGTTTTCTCCACTGGTAGATCACCTCCAAGTTACAGAAGGTTAAGAAAGGAGAAACCATTATTGACCCCTGATATAACAATCATGTCTGTGGGTACTGAGATTGCTTATGGTGAATCCATGGTGCCAGATGATGACTGGAAACGATATCTGGATAATAACTGGGACAGAAAAGCCATTACACAAGAAACGGCCAAGTTTCCTGAACTAATTCCCCAAGTATGTTTCTAGCCTATAATTTTTTTGATAATCAAATATATAAATTTAACTTAACCAAACCTGTAGTTTTGATGTTGTTATAGAAATGCATGCATATGTATAAATTACTTTCAGGTCATGTATTTTGACGCGGGCTCATTCTAGTTGATAAAATTTTGTTATGAGGGAATGTATGATCACATATTTGATCAGTCATCATTTGAGACAATGGGTTTTCGTGTAATATTTGTCAATGTTTCAATTTTCTGGTTTAACCGCAGCCTGAAACAGAGAATCGACCACACAAAGTTAGCTTTTATGTTGAAAAAGGAAAGGCCTCGGAAGTCATTCTTGGTCTCTCCAAATGTCTAGAAAAACGCAGGGTAAAATCAAAGCTCATAAACTATCATTATGACAAAATTTCTTTCACGTCGTTTTCATAGCTTTACCTAAATATCAATGCATGAGACTATTTTTATATTAATCTGATATTCATGTGTTCTTTCTCAGTTAGATGTGAAAATACTTTATAGCAATGGTACTGCTCTGGACATATTGCCCCAAGGTGCTGGCAAAGGACAGGCCCTTACCTACTTACTTGAAAAATTCAAAGCTGATGGCAAGGGACCAGTCAACACTCTTGTCTGTGGAGACTCAGGAAATGATGCTGAACTTTTCAGTGTACCTGATGTCTATGGTGTCATGGTCTGTAATGTGTTAACAATGACTTAGGTCACCGTAATTTAAATCTTGCTCATTTTTCTGTTTATTGTAGTTGTAAGGTGAATAACCATTGTCTATTTCTTGAATTTGCAGGTCGGTAATTCACTGGAGGAACTGCTTCAGTGGTATGCAGACAATGCAAAGAGCAACCCAAAAATAATTCATGCAACTGGGAGATGTTCAGCGGGTATTATTGAAGCCATTGGTAACTTTTCAGTAGGTCCAAGTGTGTCTCCAAGGGATATTACTGAGAAGTCAGTTGAAAAACCTTTTAATCCTGGGCACGAAGTAGTGAAGCTTTACATATTTTATGAGAGATGGCGGTGTGGAGAAATTGAGAATTCTGAGCAGAAAATGCAAACTGTAAAATCAACCTTTGTAAGTTTAATCTCATTTTTATATTTTGAATTGCTGAATTTTGCTTGTATGGTTTGCATTAAGTAAGCTGAATTCCTTATATGCACAGCTAGTTAAAATGAGGCATTAGGATTATATATTCATTATAATGTAGAAATACAGAAATTGGGAAGGGGGGGGGGGGAACTATAGTCTCAAAATGTAAAAAAGAAATATAGAAAAATAAGTTTGAATCAGGTTAGAAAAGAAAAATGAAATTCTTTTTTTCCTTTTCTCTCTCTCTCTGTTTTTTTTTTTTTTTTGGGGTTAAAAACCAATTGAAGAATTACATGAGAAACAATAACGACAACGACAACAAACAATCCTTATCCCAATAAATGGGATTAGTTGTTTGGATTACATAGCATCATTGTGCTCCATCAATAGCCAAATCTTTAGATAAATTATTGACCAAAAGATCCCGCTCAATTACATGAGTAACAAAGCTTATGAATTTGCTTTTGATATCTGGTCTATGAATTGCAGATTTTTATCTCTCCTGTAACAACCTAATATTTAGAAATCTTGGTTGAGACAGGTAGGGGAGAAAATCAATTTTGCATTTTCACTGTGATATTATCTTTCACCTCTCCTGTAAGGCTGTAACCCATGTAGTTTATAGCCACGTTATATAGAAACTCTTGATTGAGAAAGGGTGGGTGAGAAATCAATATTGCATGTACATTGTCACGTTACTTTTTTTATGGTGGCATTCTTAAATAACTTTGCTATGAATCTCTGGTCTCCTCCCATTGATTTGAAGAGTTACATTTGAATGTCTGCGCTTTTCTCTAGCATCACGCAGGAAGTTTTGTCCATCCATCAGGAGTTGAACAAAATAGGCACCAAATCTTAGATGCCTTTGAGAAATTGTATGGGGACAAGCAAGGAATACGCTTTCAAGTCTGGGTGGATCGCGTGTCTTTTGCAGAGATTAGTTTGGGATCATGGCAGGTCAAATTTGACAAGTGGGAATTATGTGGTGAGAGATATTTAGTATAGTACTTTGCTTAGTGGTGATTTTTATATCTTTATCTCTCCATTTATCATTTCATGATGGCATCTTGTTTCGTTTTTTTGGGTGCTTTCTAATTATCGTGAATGATTGAACTTCTAACACTAGACTGGAATTATTGAAGCACTTGTTGTTGGGTTTAGGTGTTTTTTGTGATTTAAAATTGTAACATCTGGTATACTAACATTAGTTTGGGTCCATACTTCCTAGTCTTCCTTTAACTAGCCTTCAATATTACGTAACATTTTGGCTCTATCTAGTCTGCTTCTTGACAAAAATAGAGTATGAAATTCTCAGTTCTATTGCGGACGAGGCAGTTACATGGATATTTATACACGCTAAAGGGGGCTAATCTAGTTACAACAAACGACGTACAAGACCAAAGAAATAACTAAAACAATTGCATTTTTTACAATCCTAACACTCCTTCTCAAGATATCTTCCATGGCAAGGTTGATGGTTAAGTCTGCAAGAAAACACCAGGTAGTCCTTTGGCAAGAATGTCTGCAGGTTGGCTAATGAAGGAAACATGACAATGAAGGCCACAAGTGAAATATATTGCTTCAGTCTAAAATGCATCCAATAGAAAAAGGAACTGAAGGGCCTAGGAACTAACTCATGAAAGTCATTCATCATGCTCACACTGCCTCCGCGTAACCTAAATCATTATTGTCACAATGTTTGATAAATTTTCAATTTACAGGTCTTGTGTTTGAATTTTTTTTCAGCATTTAATTTTTACATCATTTTCCTTCCACTGATAGTTACTCTGATCAATCCATTGTCGTTTTGAATCAGGGAATGAATTGCAAGGCTGCTCAACAAAAGTTTTAATGAATTCAAAGGTAAAGGATGTTGTAGATCCTTCCTAAAATGTGATCCCCTTTTTTGTTTGAAACTTTGCTTATCATATGGTTTTTTTTTTTATATCAGTAATTATTTTCTGCCCTGACAGCATTCGGAGTTTTGCAGGTTGATGCACCAGATGAGTTTACATGGATGCACTTGCATCAGACTTGGTTGGATTGTTCAGGACAAAATGACAAGACTTGGCTTATCTAGATCATCATTTAACTTCATAACATTTTATTGGGAAACGACAATCAGGGACCTATCTATCCATAACATTAATGTCAAAAGAAGACCTTGGAATTCAGAAATGACAGTGAAAGACCAATGATCCTTTATGAAGCCCTGGTCTTGAATACAGTACACCAATAAAAATATGTTATCGAGATGCAACTTCAATTACACGTTCACCTCCCGCTTGTATTCGTCCTCCAATCCCCTCAATGACCTATGACGTTTGCCACCTCAATGCCATTCTATTCTCAACATTGACAATCTCTTCCAAGTCTGAGCATGATCCCTCTGTTGCCTCCAGTCTTGGATTTTCAGAGGATAGAGGATATTGATACTAGGGAAAGAGAGTAGGAGTCTCAGAACAGAAGGGCAATATCGATTGTATAGTTCCCTCAAGTTTCTACTCATATGATGACATCATTTCATTACTCAACCATCTTTATATGCTAATATATTAACTACTTGTCGTATGTCTTATGCATAATGAAAGTTGTTTTCTTTTTATGTACAAAAGTTATATGCTATCGAATGTTACAGCCTTGACAGGGAGAACAGACCATTAAGGCCAATTTATAAATATGAGTGCGCGCTAGCGACTTTAATATTAACTTATTTAGTATGCTTCGATGTCAATTTTTTTATAGTAGAGTTGTTAATTTTCTATTGTTACTGCTAAAGTTTAATAACAACCTTAATATTAACCTATTTAGTATTTCAGTATAAAAAATAGTGACTTTTTCTTTTATCAATAACTCCATTGAAAACCGTCTTGTTTAGGATTAACCATTGTAGCACTAGAAATTAACAACTAATGTTATGAAGTTTCCTACTGGAGTTGCGTTGTCATTTTCCTAGTTAAAGTTGCTAATTCTAAAATAATAGTTGTTAATAGTTATAAGTAAAAAATAAGAGCTTTTATGTCAAAAAAGGGAAAATGACAAATGAAAAACCTGGAAAATGTTAATTTCGTCGAAAGCTACCTGAATTAGTATAATCCTAGAAAAGTGTAAAATTCTAAACTGACATTTGGAAATTCAAGCAAAAAGATATAAATGCCCCTATTTATAATTTTTATTTCAAAATTAGTAAAATGAATTGAAAATTTATTATTACCAGCTAAAGTTTAGAGATTGAGAATTTTCTAAATACATGATTTTTTTTCTCATTTTCTCAAGTTTTTAAATTTTTAAATTGCAACGACGACTTGTTAAATTCTATTCTCAAATTGAAAAAATGCATTAAAAATTTGTTATTATGGTCTGAAGTTTAAGAATTGAGATAAAATTACTTTTTCATGTCATTTACAACTTTATATGTTTATTGGCTATATTACATGAGCTATTAATAGCTTTTATTTAACAATGCCACTCTTTAGGTTCTTCACAATTTTTATATGGGCTTCAACTAAATCTCATGTGTTATTAACAATTTTGTTTAGCCAGCAATAAAACTGTTTTTTCATGACAATTCACAAATTTTATATAAGTATTCTTTCGGTCCTAAATATAAGACCCTTATTATAAGGGTGTTATATTTAAGACCGGAAGGATATTGACTATATTTTATTAGTTAATAACTTTCGTAGTAGAATATGTCTTCTTCATCACAGGTAAGGGGCCGATTCACGTCGAGATGAGGGCCTGAAGGCAAAAAGCTATGAACACCTCATTTATTTATTTTAAAAAGTTTGAAATTTAAAAATCATGATTGCTGAATTTCTAAACGAAAATTGTTAATATCTAATTAAATAAAGTCAATGATGATATAGAATATAAAAAAAGTCAATGATTATATAGAAGTTGTGAAAGATCTAAAAGAGTAGCTTTGTTATTTGTTAAACAAAAGTTAGCTATATAAAAATTATGAATGACCGTAGTCAAAGATAACAAGTTAACTCATAATTTTTTGTATCATAATGTTAATGAAATTTGGTGACTCAATAGTCATCTTTAATTTTAAAATGCAAGTGATTGTATGATTGAAGAATTTGAGATAATGAATATTAAAAACTTGATGTAAATATTTTCCTATCTTATACTGAAGATATTAATTCTAATGATGCAATTATAGGAATTATTAGCAAAAAATAAATGGAAATCCCTTAAAAAATATACAAATAACTCAAATTCATAATTTGTTAAAATCCTAATCAGGTCACATGAATTGAAGAAAGATTTTAAAATTTTATGAAATGACTCTGATGCTGATTTTAGTAAAAACCAAAAGAGAATTCAAATTAGGAAAAAAGACAGAAAAATGCAACTTTAACTCCAGAATCCCAAAAACGTCCGGCTAATTTCAGCAATCCCGTTTTGGTACCATGAGATCAAATTGGGATTATTATGTGAAAGGAAAAGACCAAATTGCCCTTCATTTTAAATATTATTTTTAAAATATCACAGCCCCTACCGGCCGGTCACCGGAGCTCCGGTGACCCGCCGACAATTGGTCACCGGAGCTTCGTCGCTCGGAAATTCTTTTTTTTTGAAAACTTTTACAACTTCAATATAACAACAACTTTTGTAAAGCTATTAACAACTTCAGTATAGCAATTAACAACAGCTTTTCTGGAAAATTCAACAAACTCCGGCGACCAGAAACAATTTTTTTGAAAATTTTTACAACTTCAATATAACCGTTAACAACTTTTGTAACGCTATTAACAACTTTAATATAGCAATTAACAACAACTTTTCTGGGAAATTCAACAAACTCCGGCGACCGGAAACAATTTTTTTGAAAATTTTTACAACTTCAATATAACCGTTAACAACTTTTGTAACGCTATTAACAACTTTAATATAGCAATTAACAACAGCTTTTCTGGAAAATTCAACAAACTCCGGCAACCGGAAACAATTTTTTTGAAAATTTTTACAACTTCAATATAACCGTTAACAACTTTTGTAACGTTATTAACAACTTCAATATAGCAATTAACAACAGGTTTTATGGGAAATTCAACAAACTCCGGCGATTGGAAACAATTTTTTTGAAAATTTTTACAACTTCAATATAACAATTAACAACTTTTGTAACGCTATTAACAACTTTAGTATATCAGTTAACACCAGATTTTTCGAAAAATTCAACAATTGGTCGCCGGAGCTCCGGTGGAGGAAAACTTTTTTTTTTTTGAAAATTTTTACAACTTCAGTATAACGGTTAACAACTTTTGTAACTCTATTAACAACTTTAGTATAGTAATTAACAACAGGTTTTCTGGAAAATTCAACAAACTCCGGCGACTAGAAACAATTTTTTTGAAAATTTTTACAACTTCAATATAACAATTAACAACTTTTGTAACGCTATTAACAACTTTAGTATATCAATTAATACCAGATTTTTCGAAAAATCCAACAATTGGTCGCCGGAGCTCCGGTGGAGGAAAACATTTTTTTTTGGAAAATTTTTACAACTTCAGTATAACAGTTAACAACTTTTGTAACTCTATTAACAACTTCAGTATAACAATTAACAACAGGTTTTCTGGGAAATTCAACAAACTCCGGTGATCGGAAACAATTTTTTTGAAAATTTTTACAACTCCAATATAAACGTTAACAACTTTTGTAACGCTATTAACAACTTTATTATATTAGTTAACAACAGATTTTTTGAAAAATTCAATAATTGGTCACCGAAGCTCCGGCAGAGGAAAACAATTTTTTTTGAAAATTTTTACAACTTCAGTATAACAGTTAACAACTTTTATAACCTTATTAACAACTTCAGTATAGTGGTTAACAACAGGTTTTTGAGTTTGTTAAAAGCATTACTGAAGTTATAAAAATGCCACTTTTTGAATTTTTTTGAAAAATCTGTTGTTAACTGCTATACTGAAGTTGTTAATAGAGTTACAAAAGTTGTTAACCGTTATACTGAAGTTGTAAAAATTTTCAAAAAAAAATTATTTCCAGTCACCGGAGCTTGTTGAATTTCTCAAAAAACTTGTTAATTGCTATATTAAAGTTGTTAATAGCAATATAAAAGTTGTTAACCGTTATACTGAAATTATAAAAATTTTCAACTTCAGTATAACGTTAACAATTACGTTTTTTTTAAAATTTTTACAACTCCAATATAACGGTTAACAACTTTGATATAGCAGTTAACAATAAGTTTTTCGAAAAATTCAGAAAGTGGCATTTTTATAACTTCAAAAATGCCTTTAACAAACTCAAAAACCTATTGTTAACCGCTATACTGAAATTGTTAATAGGGTTACAAAAGTTGTTAACCGTTATACTGAAGTTGTAAAAATTTTCAAAAAAATTGTTTTCCTCCGCCGGAGCTCCGGCGACCAGTTATTGAATTTTTCAAAAAATCTGTTGTTAATTGATATAATAAAGTTGTTAATAGCGTTACAAAAGTTGTTAACGTTTATATTGGAGCTGTAAAAATTTTCAAAAAAATTGTTTCCAGTCACCGAAGTTTGTTGAATTTCCCAGAAAACCTGTTGTTAATTGCTATACTGAAATTGTTAATGGAGTTACAAAATTTGTTAACCGTTATACTGAAGTTGTAAAAATTTTCAAAAAAAAAATGTTTTCCTTCACTGGAGCTCCGGCGACCAATTGTTGAATTTTTTGAAATGTCTGTTGTTAACTGATATACTAAAGTTGTTAATAGCGTTACAAAAGTTGTTAACTGTTATATTGAAGTTGTAAAAATTTTCAAAAAAATTGTTTCCGGTCGCCGGAGTTTGTTGAATTTCCCAGAAAACCTGTTGTTAATTGCTATACTGAAGTTGTTAATAGCGTTACAAAAGTTGTTAACGGTTATATTGAAGTTGTAAAAATTTTCAAAAAAATTGTTTCCGGTCGCCGGAGTTTGTTGAATTTCCCAGAAAACCTGTTGTCAATTGTTATACTGAAGTTGTTAATAGCATTATAAAAGTTGTTAACTGTTATATTGAAGTTGTAAAAATTTTCAAAAAAATTGTTTCCGGTCGTCGGAGTTTGTTGAATTTCCTAGAAAACCTGTTGTTAATTGCTATACTGAAGTTGTTAATAGCGTTACAAAAGTTGTTAACAGTTATATTGAAGTTGTAAAAATTTTCAAAAAAATTGTTTCCGGTCACCGAAGTTTGTTGAATTTCCAAGAAAACCTGTTGTTAATTGCTATACTGAAGTTGTTAATAGCATTACAAAAGTTGTTAACCGTTATATTGAAGTTGTAAAAATTTTCAAAAAAAAATTTCCAACCAACAGAGCTCCGGTGACCAATTGTCGGCTGGTCGTTAGAGCTCTGGTGACCGCCGCCGCCGAAGCTCCGCGGACCGGCCGACCAGTAGGGACTGTGATATTTTAAAATGAAGGGCAATTTGGTCTTTTCCTTTCACATAATAATCCCAATTGGGTCTCATGGTACCAAAACAGGATTTCTGAAATTGGTCGAACGTTTTTAGGATTCTGGAGTTAAAGTTGCATTTTTCTGTCTTTTTCCCTTCAAATTAACATGTTTGATTTCGCACTTAACATGTTTTAATTTTAAATTATAACTTTTTGTCTCCATAACACACTTGTGTAGGTCTATAATGAATGAAACTTGATAATAATACAACTCTGAAAATTAATAAATTCAATTTAATAAAATTTTAAAATCCATGTTTAGATCATGTGACTTGATTAGGGTTTTGAAAAATTCAATGGTCTAAATAAGGATTTGAGTTATTTAAGTGCCTTTTAAAAGATTTTTTTCAAAAATAAATTATTTTTTTTTCTTATGCAAATAACCATTAAATTTTATATGATTCGTTATTATTTTTTTATTAAAATTGTTAATTGTTAATTTGCTATACTAAATTTTAGCATTTGGTATAATAAATTAGGACTTTGAGGTAATTTCCGGAAAAGTTGGCCAAAAAACGATTCCCAGGCAAAAAGCCCCTCACCGTTTAAGTTTTAACGTTCCATTTGGTAGGTAATTATTTCAAAATCTTACCTCAAAAGACTCAAATCAAATTGCATCAACTACCAGACGATGTACAATTCCAGATCTACCGGTTTCTGGCATTCTTTCATAGTTGTGAAGCTTCACAATAAGATTTTGTTCGAATAGCTCAGTCCTCATTCGCTGATCCATGGAGTTCACTGACTCTTACAAGCAAACAGGCCCGTGTTGTTTTTCACCGAACGCTCGCTTCATAGCCGTTGCCGTCGATTATCGCCTCGTAATTCGGGATACTCTGTCTTTCAAGGTATTTTGCGCCCTCTTCCTTTCACTCTGATTCCATGGCTTTCTTTGCAATATTTCTGCCGCCTCTTAATATGCTGAGATTTCAACGTGAAGAGTTAAGCTAGAGCTTGATAGATGATAATGGCACTATGGGGGAGTTTTGTTGTTTGAACATTTAGAGTTCTGTTTTCTTTTACCCCCTTGTCTGGGTTGTTTCATGTGGGTGTAATGGTGTACTGTACAATCTTTCTTTCACTGTTTTCTGATAAAAATTTTTTCAGCTAGATGATTGTAATTGCTATTTCGAATTTGGCGCTCAAGAATTTTGGTACCTTGGAGTCGATTTTGCGAGAATGCATTTATGGTTATTTTAGTTTATTTTTTATTAAAATTTTAATAATAGATAAGTCATTTAAAGAATGGGGATCTGAGCATTACGCCATTTTCCATATCTGGATGTGCATTTGATCCCTGCTTAGCATGGACCGGCTATTCTGGGTCGATTGTCGTAAGGATGCTGTAGCGTGACGAGAGATGACCTCCAAGTACCCATTACTGTCTGAAATTCTAATTTTTTTTATCCCTCAAAATTGCGGGTTAATGATGAATTGAAATGAATAGATCTATTAGTTAAAAACTTGTTACAATAATTAAAAAAAGTAAAGGGTGATATTGGAAACTAATTTACTAGTCACTCTGTTCTGTCCATTATTCTCTCTTCTTAAGCTTCCAAACAATGGAACGGGTCATGACTTGTTTGCCCTTTCATGATTTGCCATTCTTTTTAATTCTTCTGTAAACACCAAATCACAGCGTTAGATTCAGATGATTAAGGCAACAGTAACTATCTAGGGAAGAAAATATTGATGGGGCTGGATTGGTAATGAATCCAAAACTCTATAAGATATTTGTTTTGGCTTCTGAAGCTAAAGCATTTGAATGTGGCAAACTAGATAACAATACTGTAAGAGTTAATGTTTGAGTACAGTTATGAGCTATGCTCGGTACAGGGTGATATGATTTAGTTTCGAATTTCAATATCAAAAACTGCATTTGGCCCTTCCATTTTTAATTTAAATCTGCTTAATGGGCATTACTGTCATCCAATTTGGATTTGACTTATTGATTGAGCAGCTTGTTTCCAGCTCAACATCTAGATTTGAAAGCAAACAATATTTCCCATGCAGGTCGTGCAGTTGTTCTCTTGCTTAGACAAGATTAGCTATATTGAATGGGCCCTCGATTCTGAATACATTCTTTGTGGTCTATATAAAAGGCCAATGATACAAGCTTGGTCGCTGACCCAGCCTGAATGGACATGCAAGATAGATGAAGGTCCTGCTGGTATTGCATATGCCAGGTGGAGCCCAGATAGTCGCCACATACTGACCACAACAGATTTCCAGTTGCAGCTAACAGTTTGGTCATTAGTAAACACAGCTTGTGTGCATGTGCAATGGCCAAAACATGCTTCTAGGGGAGTCTCTTTCACTCGAGATGGAAAATTTGCTGCAATTTGCACTAGGCGTGATTGTAAGGACTATATCAATCTATTATCTTGTCATACGTGGGAAATAATGGGCATTTTTGCTGTTGACACTCAAGACTTGGCTGATCTTGAATGGTCACCTGATGATAGTTCTGTAGTGATTTGGGATTCACCACTTGAGTACAAGGTAATTAGCCTTTTGTTTTCTTCCTCCTGTGAAGAGTCCAAAATTGGGGTGTCAGTGTTAAAAACATTCTGGATGAGAGAAGGAAAAAACCTGGTAATAAGAAAGATTAATTGGGCTGGGCCCATATATTAAGAAATTTAAGAAACAGTTAGAATCAGTGATCTAATTGTTGAGCTTTTGTGAATAGTATATCCATATTTTATCAAATCTCTAGCAAGTCACACACTTTGTAAGTTATTAACAATGTCGCTCATTTCTCATATTTTGTGCAATGCATGGGGAAATGTGCTGTGGTTATAACAGAAAGACAGAGAGGGAGAGAGACGGGAAGAAGAAGAGAAACAGAGAAGTAGAAGTTAGGAAGAAAACAAGAGAGTAGACAGATTCAGAGAGAAAGATGAGAGAAGAGAGACTTAGCTGAATAGTGCACTTTATTATTCACAATCTGGTCTGATTTACAAATGAAAAGAAGGGGCTTATTTATGAGCCTTTGACTAGGTAACGGCTAGTTTACAAATATACTCTAACGGCTACTAACTAAAAGCTAACTTTTCAACTATTATATAACAACATGTGACTAGTTGCTTTACAACCAAAATGTCCACTGTTTGCATCTGCTTTCTGGGAGGGGCCTGTGCTGTGTGTCATGTCATGTCGAATGTATGGAGTGGGATGGTGACGGTGATTTTTGGGGGCGGAACTATTAACTGCGATTTCACATGGGGAGAAGCCAGAGTGCTGGTCCTAGCAGAAGGAAAGCCAGAGTGCTGGTCCTACCGGATTTTTTCTTTTTTACTTGGTGAGGATCATGCAATCCTATGATCTCACATTTGTCTTTTCATGAAAGAAACAATTTTCCAAAGGTCAAGATAATTTCCTTGTTGTGGGAGGATCAATATAATAAATCAAATCCAATAATTAGCAAAGAAGCATCTGCGTTTACACCAGTGTATCTCTATGTTGTATTTTATCTGTATATATTTCGTTTTCTTCCCTATGTCTGCTCTGCTTATTTATTGCTTAAGGCTTGTCATCAAAACATAATCAGCCGGGTGTGCAATAGAATAGTGTCAATAAATTGTGTTGTAATGGAATTGAGAAGAAACTTAGTTATCGTGGTTTAATATAGGTTCTAATCTATTCTCCTGACGGAAGGTGCCTTCTCAAGTATCAACCATATGAAAGTGGATTAGGAGTTAAAAGCGTGTCATGGTCTCCTTGTGGTCAGTTTCTAGCAGTGGGTAGTTATGATCAGATGTTGCGGGTTCTGAATCATCTGACTTGGAAGACATTTGCAGAGTTGATGCACTTATCTACAGTCCGTGGTCCTTGTTATGCTACTGTTTTCAAGGTAATCCTATTTTCTTCATTTCAAGTTTTTGATGTTTCAGTTATGGGAAATTTATATACCTCTTTCCTGAAATTGCAGGAGGTAGATGAGCCACTGCAATTTGATATGTCTGAGCTATGCCTGAGCGATGATTTTTCTCATGGAAATGATGGTAAGCAATTACTGTAGGAACCAGCATACTATCTTCTTTTATATATGCACTTCAGAAGTTTTTTCTTATACAACATCCAGTCAGTTCGATATTTACACTTTATGAGCTGTAGCGATACATTTTCATGAAGCATCTGGTGTAAAAATCCATTTAGATTTAAAGTGGCTAAACCGCCAAAGAGCTTCAAATTTCAAACCTTTGAATATATATGTATTGTGAGGCTGCGGACATAGTTTATTATTCTTTTCTTTAGAAGTCATAATAATACAAAGGTAATTGCCTAAGCTGGATGAGCTTTTAAAAATCCTATTTATTGGGATGCTTGATGATATTCGTTATCATCTCTTTATAGTTTAACCCCTTGGGATGAATTATTTTTTAGCAAAATATTGAAGCTTTCATGACCAAACCACCAGGGGGATCTTTGCTTGTGTCTTTTCTCAAATTTAATTAATTTTTTAGTGTAAGTTGTGATGGATCTTCGCTTGGCCCATGCTTTAAACCACACAGTGTTTTCATGTGAAGAGGCAGGCTGGAGATAAATAATAAAGCCATCTTTGAGCATTCTCTAAATAACTTGTAAACCTTTGGGATTATTTGGTTCTTAATAGTCCACAGACAATTCTATTCAGTTTCATTCTTGGTTTCTTATCTTGAAATCAACAGAACTTAAATAAATCAGAATTTTGCTCTTTTCTACAAATTTATTTCCCGTGGTAGAAATTTTGTATCTTGCTATAAGTTTCCGTCTTTGCCCTTGTTTTGATGATAAACCAAGATGCTAAGAGAGAATCAAGATTTGAACTAGTAAACTGGTGATATCTCGATTATTCTTTCTGCGCCTTCTGATATCTCTTGATTGGCCCGTTAGTTTTTTCCCTGCTCTCATTCATTTTTAATATTTTATTTCTTCCAGCAAATGTACCAGAAGCACCCTTCAGAGTCAGGTACGAGGTTATGGAAGTACCTATTAATTTGCCATTCCAGAAACCTCCTGCAGACAAACCAAATCCCAAACAAGGAATTGGTAGGCGATGCTTTACTTTTTTATTGCCACAAATTATGACCTTCCTTGCTGCATAAATTAATGATCTTAGAGAAGGGCGGCAAAATTGAGGGTATTTTTCAAAAGAAGTAGAAGACTAATAATTTGTTTTTCAATCACAAATAAAATCATCACCCCGAATTCCATTATTTAGCAATAATTGGGGGGGGGGGAGAGTAAAAAAATTTAATGTCCGTACGGCTTTTCTGGTCTTCATTATAATTTGTTTGCTTAAGTAGGAGCTTTACCAAGTGATCCCCTTGTGTCTTCATCCTGGGGTGATATGATCATATAGGATTAGTGATTAATATATGCATTGGATACCATCAGTTGTGATGTAACATCGCATTTTGAATCCTGAGTTGTTTGTAAAAAATGCGGACTTTTCTTGTTTATCTTCTAGGTGTTAAGTGACTTCAATTACTTTAATTTAATTCAATATATAACTTCTTTTTAAGCCTAAGATTACGTTATTCATGATTGAATGCCCTTCTCATGTAGAACCTATCCTTGCGATTCAACTAGTTCTGAGAACAGAAGATTGAGAAAAATTACAAGGAAGGAATTTCTGTTGATTATTATATTCAGGGCAATAAACTTGCTGTCTTCCCGAGACCAGAACTTTAAATTTTCCGCCTTACAGTTTGATGAAAAGCTTTAATTTAGGTGTGACGTTTGCCTCACCATGTTTATCTCCACATATTAGTTGCCAAGGGTCATTAGAAATGTCACCAGAAACCTTGCCATTGTCTGTTTCTGTGACCGTTTTATGTTTATCACCATCCTTTTTCTTTTTTTTTTAATTTTTACACATGGGATAAAATCTTACCATGATGACTGAAACCCAAAGATAATTTGCGTCCGTCATTTCACATGCTTCAATGCATTGTCATTTTACTGTCATGTATTCCATGCACTGGTGAGGGTGGATCACTAATTTCTGCCCAATTCAGTGCTGACCAGCACAATCATGTCTTTTGCCTTTGTTTTCATATACGGTTTTTCTCTGCCATTCTTTGGATGTGTATTGGAGTTTGTATTTTGTCATTGTGTAAGCCTAAAATTATCCCGAGTCCTTAAGTATTTGTTGTATTTTATCACAACAGTTTTTCACTGATTTCTTATCTCCGACTTGTCCTTAAGCATTTGTGGTACTTGGTCTGGTTAAGGTGCCGACATTCTTTTGCCCTTGTTTACATGTGCAGTTTTTCTGTCTTTTTTTGGATGCATATTGGAGTTTCTGTTGTATTTTGTCATTTTGTAAGCCTAAAATTATCCCAAGTGTGGTTGGTTTGCTACTTTTGTCAATTGAAGCTTGTCTTATTTTGTTGTATTTTGTCATTTTGAATTTAAATTATCTTAGTCTCCTACAGCTCATTCTTTTTTCTGGGATTTGTTGGACTAGTTAGTTAGATGAACTGTATCCCTAGCAGCTCATAAATAACAGATGAGATAGATTTATGTTTATGAATGAACTGAGCACTACTAGTGTTTACCTTTACAATGCATCACATTTGTTGTAGGTCTTTTGTCTTGGAGCAATAACAGCCAATATATTTGCACACGAAACGACAGCATGCCTACGACGCTATGGATATGGGATATTCGACATCTCGAGCTTGCTGCAATCCTAGTGCAGAAAGATCCCATCAAAGCAGCAGCATGGGATCCAACATGCACACGTCTTGTTGTTTGCACCGCAAGCACACATTTGTATATGTGGACTCCCTCTGGTGCCTATTGTGTTCACGTTCCTTTACCACAGTTCACAGTAACAGACCTGAAATGGAATTCAGATGGAAGCTGTCTTCTCCTTAAGGACAAGGAATCATTCTGTTGTGCTGCTGTACCTTTATTGGCAGAGGAGTCTAGCGAATACAGCTCAGAGGAGTGATACTTCCACCAGAAACCAAAGTAATGGTAAATATGAGCAACTCGCTCTATTTCTTTACATTTGGAAGACTAGAACCTGGGATTAGGATCATAGATTCATGGCAGAGAATTCTTGTATATGTGCCGTGTACTTGTGTTCAACGGCTGAGACTTAATCTGTATGTGGGCTCTACATGTACAGATCGAATTTGAGCCACAGAATATATGTAAACCGGTTTAGGTAGGGCAATCGTGCATAAAAATGTCGTGTGAGCTCTCTTGTTTCTTTTTAAAGTATGTGAAGGGCTAAATCACTCCTTTGTTGTGGGGGTATATAAATTTAGCTAGGGAAAATGGAGCTTTTAATTCTTAAATTTTTAGAATTATCGATTTGGTTCATATAATTTGTTCATGATCGATTACATCCCTGTCATTATAAAATCATATAAAAGTAGTTCTTATGATTTGAAAACCAAATGATAGCATTCTGCTTTTTTTTTTTTTGGGGGGGGGGGGGGAGATAGTCAAATTTAGAGCTTTTATATGGTTATGACTCCCATAAATTACAAGCCATGCTATTCAAAGCTTGTGAAGGAGAGTGTGCTTTTCTATAGTTTCAATTATCATAAATACATGAAAAATTAATCTTTTAATCCTTCAACTTCAACTCTTAGCTCATGTATATGATTCAATCTCTCAATTATGACTAGGTATAACCTACTCTTTGAACTTTCGACTTGTCTATATAACTCAATTCTTATCTTTTCATTTTCTTAAAGTCAAGGTGTAAATTTGTCTTTAAAATTTTTATTCAGGAGCATTGGTTGTTCTAAAGTGTTTTTGTGTTTAATGTAGCCTCTGAAGTTTTCAAATCATAGCAATTATTTTCCTAACTATTATCTAGGTTAATTTTGAGAGTCGGTTGACTAAAGTTGATAAATCTAGATGTAGATGCCATTTATGTCATTTTTTTGGATTAAAATGTAAATTTGTCTTGAAGATTATTACTCAGGAGTTCTCAATGTTTGAAAGTTCTTTAGGTTTAATATCACCCTAAAAGGTTACAAATTATAGGAATGTCGCTTAGGCTATTATTTAGGTTAAGTCTTGCCAAATATAAAGAAAAGCATATAGAAAATATCTGGTTCATATTATTCAATCTGAGAAGATGCTTATATAGTGCAAGTTTTATAGAGCATACTAGAGTTTAAGACTTGGAAACATGTACTATGAGCTGTCATTTAGTCTGATCGGTTAACCAACATTTAAACAAACTTAACAAAGATTAGAGATATAACTTACAAGTTTGACTATTATTTGACCAAATATGTTGAGCTAACAAGATCATGTTATCACGTAGATGACATGTGGACTTGCTAACTTGGCATATTTGGTCAACAAGCAATCAAACATAACCTGGATAATTGTTATGGTAAAATTGCTATGATTTGAAAGCTTTTGGAGCAAAGTTGAATCCAAAAAAACTTTTGAATAAGTGAAAATTTTTTAAACAAATTTACATCTTAATCCTTTTATTTTTTTAAATAATGATCCTTATCATCCATGAGTGAGCTCAACTTGTAACTCAGTTGTCCTACGCGTAAAAAGATGCCTATTAACGTCGTCAATGTGTGTGTTAGAACCCATATTTTGATGATACCAAAATTAAAGAAAATTTGAGTTGCAGGGTATATAATTAATTCATGATTAATTTGTAAGATGAAATGATTTTGAAATGAATTTTTATGAGTAACTCCAATGACAACTCAAGTTATAACGTGTTAGTTATGATAATTGGTAACCACTAGAAGTTGCAAATTTTCTTCCCTTACCAGATGCATCAACTTGAGTCAGTAAATCGGGATTTTTACCAAAATGCTATTAACAGTGAAATAAAATACCAAAATGTTACAGCGTGGAAAGATATTATCAAAATGCTACACTTGAAATTTATCACCTGGAGATGAATTTATAAACTTCATCTTGCCCAGAGCGAGTTCTTCAATAAAGTGGGAAAATTTGCAAATTCATTTGGTAGAGATGAATTTGTAAAGTTCATCTTTGAGTGATGAACTTCAAAAAAAATACTTTTGTCCTTTTCTTCCCATTTCCATGCGTATGAGCATCCTCTCCCCGTACGAATCTCTCAGAACCACTTTTGTCTAAGTCAAAAAAGCAACTGAACTCTTTGCATGCATCTGAAGCTGGGAAGAATATTAAGTCATCTCATCTCCCTTGCCCATGAAGCTACAGTAGTGTCGTGGCTTGCTATATATTTTGCATCTCCTCTTATGCCCATGAATGCGTCTGAATCGTTCAAGCTTTACTTATACATTTTGCATCTCCTCTTATGCCAGTAGCCCATGAATGCGTCTGAGTCCTCCGCATGTTGAGCTCGTGTTCCCACTTCATGTATTCAGATTTCTCTCTTCTCTCTCATCATCTTACTCTCTCGTTTTATTAGTTGCTCCAGCCTCCTCCATTCTTTTGCTGTCTTGTTTCTCTATTCTTACTTCCAAACATTCGACACATACTTTTATTACTGCTGAGGGTATGTTATTTCTCTTATGTATTTTTTATTTTGTCATTATAATATTTAATTTGATTTTCTTCTTTATTTTTTTATTTGATAAACTATTATTTTAAATCTCCAAGTGCTAAGTGGTGGGTTGAACAATTTCAAAAATCTATACTCTTAGGTGCCTCTTATTTTGCCAGTAGGAATCCTCTATTGTATAGTTTTAAGATCTCAAGATTTTGTTTTGATCTCTATTACCCATTTAGTCCTATTTATAAGGCATTTTAGTATATTTCACACAGATTAAAAAACCGTTAAAATAATTTCACATCCACTATCTCATAATTTGATTATGAAAGTAACACTAATCAAGCACTGGATGAAGGAGTGAAGAAAATGTACCAACTGTGCAAATAACTTAATAAAGACAATTATGTATGTTTGTATTAAAAATTATATCAAGTGCCTTATATATAGGATCAAAATTTACACTCTCTCTGTCTTATAAATAAAACTAGAGGAGTATCTTTTAAGCATATGATTTTTTTTTGAAATGAATATATGAGAAAAAAATTCATAGCTTTAACTTTTTTTCCCATATTATTCCTTATTTGCTATCAATTTTCATAATTTTTTTTGTTTTACTCGATCTTAATAGGTGTGTATTAAAGTAACTAACAATTAAAAAATTATTAAAATAAATGAAAAATTTTAGATATAAAAATAAATCTGAATAATTTTATTCATTTAATTATTTATTGTTTTAAGAAACCGAGGTTAAGAAAAATAATTATAAAAATTTAAATTGTATTTAATGAAATCAAGTAAAATATGTTTATTTACATGTAAACATATTTATAAAATATATATATGGGGTAAAAAATTTTATAAAATTAAAAGTAACGAAATAGATGTTTGAAAAAAAGAGAAAATTTCAATTGGAATAGAATAAAGCCAGATAAAATTTAACTATTTGCTAAGGGTGTTCATGTAGATGAATAATTTCATTTCATTGCGTTTAAATATGTAAGATATTTTAGCTTAATAATAAATGATTTTGATTTGATTTCAATAAATTTTGTTATAAATATTGATAAGAAAAAGATTATAAATTTTTTTAGTACCAATTAAGGAGATTATAAAAAAGATCTATTCAATGGAAGCATGATAAGAAAAAATGTAGGGATTTAGTTAAGGGTACTTTAATATTTTCAAATTTATATTTTAGTATTTGGTCATTATAAATAATTATAATTTTTAAGATCCTTCTCAATAAATATTATTTTTCTAGGTCCTTCCCCCTAATTTTTTCTTAAAATAATATAACTTTTACCTATTTAGTAAATATTTTGGATAAAATAATGAGAATAAAATATAATATAAAAGTAAATTTTTATTAATAAGAAAATAGGTGGCAATATTTTGTTAAACTTTTTTCATTAATAAAAATGAATATCATAAAAAATTTAGTTTTTAAGAATCTATAGTATACATAGATTTGATATTACTTTTAAAACTATTAGAAATTTAATTAAAAGGTACGGAATAAATCAAAATAGAATTATAATACATATATACATGAATAATTTTTTTAGCACTAGACTTAAACCTATGCGAACTATGCATGGGAAACCATGATTTGAGTCTTTCTATTTTCAAAGTTTTGTCTTCTCCCAGTTGTACTTAATTAATGATTATAATGCAATATTTAGGAAATAGAATGGATCATAAAAGGAGTTCGTATGTATATTTACAAATGGACGAATTTATAATGGCTAAGCCGGTACAACATTTGAGTCCAACAGCATGAAAATAATCAAAGTTGATGAAAATATTACATTGGACAAATTGAAGCAAGTTATTGGACAAAACTTACGACTTCCTCCCAATCAAATGGTGACAAATCTAGTATATAGATATCCTACACGCATAAATCCACCACAATACCAAGCATGCAATTTGGAGGATAATGCAGATATAAAAGAAATGTGGTAAGTCAGAAGAAGATTTTTAACTCAATTGACATGTGCAGAATTGTATGCCAACATATGTAATTTTTCAGATTATGGTCATGTAGAATCACAACCAATGGATGATTGTGTAGGAAATACACTCCCGTTAAGTAGCAATGAGGTGAACATTATGGAACAAGGGTCCATGTTCAGCAATGACATGGAAAGCTTTCAACCATTTGAACCTCCCATAGATGGTGGCAACAATGGACCATCATGCTCTCTTCCTCAAATAGAAGACATTGTGGATGAATTTGAGGATGAATCTGAATATGATTCATATTTAGATGCCAGTAGTAGGAGTGATAATGATGACAACGATAATGAATATGATGATATGAACGAGCAAAATGAGCTTGCAACTGCTTTCTTATCGCAAATTCACGTCGAATCAGCTAGAGCTCCTGAGTTTAGTGAATTAGATAATATTCTAAATGTTGGGGATAATGAAGAATTATATATTGGAAAAATATTTAGCAATGTCTGTGTTCTAAGACGTGCAGTGAAGTTATACTTTATTCGAGTTCATCATACATTTAGGGTTCACTATTCATGTAAAAAATATGAAGAATATCGTTGTATTAATTATGGACATGCTTGAATACATCATTAACTCTAGACCATCTAAAATTAGATACTGTTGTTATATCATCTTGTATTGTGACAATGGTAACTGACAAGCCAGATGTGAAAGTGTCACAAATTATTGAAAGGATGCAATCCATATTTGGTT